CTACTCTTAAACTATCAAGTGCCTGTTCCTTAGAAGGATAAATAAACTGGTAAGGAATTTAATCCATTCATTGCTCTCTGCAGCTTGTCTATCAGAGTTCCCTGCCCATGACAGGGGGTTTGGAACTAGATGGTCCTTAAGGTCCTTCCCCACTCAAACTGTTCTAGGATCCATCAGTTGCTCTTCTGGAGCAATTTCAGTGAAATGCAGCAAATCTTGAATTCACTGATGCTTGTGCTTTGCAGTGTAATTCCATGGAAAGGACTGGATGATAAGGAAAGCTGCCAGCCCAATTGCTACCCACAAACACCCCGGGAGGTGTTGGGACATCACCACAGAACTGACCTCACCCGGGAGGACAAGGTTTCAACTCACCCAACTCTCAGCTTGTTGTGCTGGGTTCTTAAAGACTCACAGATATAAAACCTGACGTCTTTGAAGGCTCCCATTTTGCAAAATTGATGTAATCTCATATATTCTCCCCCCCTTTTTTTTTAATGAATGTTTAAGGTGTCTTTCTTTAAACAATAGCAGTTGTTTATGATCAAAGCTATTATAATAAATCAGTATGTGTAGAAAGGAGAAGAATCTTTTATTTGTATTGATCTTGTACATAGATGTGGTATGGGAAAGCACAGATCTTGAATACTGCTAAAATCCCTCTGCAGTGTTGCAGCATGCCTAAGCCCCATGGAATGCCACATTTTTAATTACACTTTTCCTGTGGCATTCCACAGAACACAGAAAAAGTGATGATCAGCTTGAGAAAGAAGCCAGCTTGGGAAGTCTTCAGTGTTTGAAAGGGAAAATCTAAGAGAAATGGAGTTTAATATTTGTGCTACAGTAGAAAGCAGTGGCAGGGTTGCTGCAGGCTGCATGAATCACAGCCACCACAGAACAGCTCCTGTGAACAGCATGGTAAAGATGCCAGCTAAGAGGATAAAGCAAACCTTTAACAAGCAGCTCATAAATTAGTTGTACACATCATTATCTTCCCAGAAACTTTTACTGAGTGCACTACCAGAAATGGGGCCCACAACATGAGTTTGCCATGACGACAAAGTGCTATAAAGATCAAGGTGGCCTCAGATGATACAGGGTCATACTGGAAAACAAAAATGGTGTTCAGGCTTAGTGATGCAAGAACGTTATTATCAATTTTTCTTCGGGAGGATCTCACCCACCAAATATTTTGCTAGACATCCTGTCTAGCAGCTCTGCCTATCAGTTGTAAAGGTGCTGAAAATCAGACTTTGCTCCCATTCCTGAGAAGTATTCGGGAGTACAGCCACATTTCTCATTCAGTCCTGAGTCACCAGAGAACCATGCACCTCTCACGCTCTGCTGCCACCAGGAGGTGAGACTCACATGCTCCACAGTGACTGACCACAAAAATCAGTGATCGACCACAAAAATCAGTGATCTCTTCTGAACGAACTGTTCTGCCAGAAGCAGGGAGAGCAGGAGACCTCTGAGCTCTGTCTGCTCCTTGTCTTGGGTCATCTCTGGCTCTCTCTCCATGGTCCTGCTTGACTTCAGTGAGGAAAAATCCACAGGTGGGAAACAGGGGCCTCTGTTCTCACCTCAAGAACCTGTGTGTAGGTAGCACAAATCTTATTACACGTGTTCTAATAATAATGAGAGAGAGAACAAGAGGGAGATTGCTAGGAAGGAAATAGACTTTAGTTTAATTTTCCAGTCATGTATTACACAACAAATCACATTGATTTCCTTCAAGAAAAATGCTTGGTCATTGACAAGTCAATAGATACATTTTATCTTTTGTTCCTCCATGTATTTAATTTTTAATTTAATTCATTGTATTCTTCCAACTTTGCAAACTCAACTGCATGAATTGTTGTGGATATTTTTTTCCTTAAGTACAGATCTGAAAGTCTGGTTAAATTGACATTTCTCACATTTCCTGTGATGTCACCGTGTGCTTCCTGGTACTTTTTTCATTAACAGTTTAAATTAAGTCTGTTTCCAAAGTGATTTTGTCGTCCTTGGACTCAGAATTGGAAGTAGTTTGGGCAGTTTGACCCCCAGCTGCTGCTGCCTGCTCACTGCAGACACTGGCATGTGCTGAATTACAGAATAGTTTGGGTTGGAAGGGTTAAAGATCTCCAAGTTCCAACTCCCTGCCATGGGAAGAGATGCCACCCACTAGATCAGGTTGCCCAGGAATGAGGGAAGCTCCTAACTTTCCTGTTCTCTCTGGAGTGTTTGAATTCAAAGCTCTTTTAATTTAATATAGATGCATTTTTTGCTTTTTACACGTTAGACTTACTCGTGATTCCCTTTAATATCTATATTCAGCTGTGAGTAAAGTCAATTTTTGTCTGTGCCTGAAAATATTGCACAAATCTTTATTCAGAATGGTTAGAGATAATGGATACTCAGTGGGGCATTTCTATAAATGTTACCAGTGCAAATGGCCTTATCTGGACAACAATTGCTGTTCCCAGGACTGCTTGGAACCCCAGCTGGAATAAATTCCCAGTCCCCACATCCCTAATGAGAATCAGCCACCCAAGCAGCCCCCACTCAACACAGCAGGGCGGGAAGGCTCTGTCCAAAGGGCTTGGAAGAATTTAGCCAGGAAAATTTTGGTGGCCTGGGATCAGAGCCACAAAATCAGCATTCCCATTGATGTGTCCTCCTTCCAATGCCATGCAGAGGTGCAAGTCATGCAAAATGGGGACCATGACTGCTGTGTTCTCTGGAAATAACTGTAAAACATTTTTGGGGAATCTGGGCTAGAAGTGACTAAACAGAATGATAGGAAGAAAGAGCATCTTGTATAGGAATCAATATTTCTTCTAAAGTTAACACAGTTTTGGCAAGGGTAAAATTGCTGGCAAAGCAGAGCCTTGGAAAGTTTATGAATAGCAAAAACCACATCTTGAAGGAAGAGACAATTTATACTATTTATTTCGACTTGTAACATTCCCTGTTTTTTCGCTATGGTTTACACTTCTCAAGGAAAAGAAGTTACCATGTGACCATACCAGGGCACAAGCCTGTCTTTCCTGTCTTTTCCCAGGGATCTGGGTACACTGTGGGTAACCAACAGTATCATGCTCTGGGAACCTCTTACAGTGACAGCAAGGTGATATCAAGACCTGTTTTTTTCATGGACTAGTGATGACAATCACAAGTAGGAGGCCGTGAATATTCAAGAGAATTTAAGCCTAGCTCTTAACTGCCCATGAGTGGCCAGAAGTGGCCAGAGTTTGTCAGCAGTGGTAGGACCTGATGGCTCAGGCACTTGGGACTGCTGACTGCCTGGCCAGAAAGGAAGGCAGCTCTGGATGCACTCCAAGCAGCTGAAATGACTTCATCATTTGTAACTCTAACTGAAATTAGGGTTAAAAAGTTACTTTAATTAACCTCCAAGTAAAAGCATTCGTACAGCAGCCATGACTTCCAAACCCGTGACCCGAGGTGAACTTTGTGTTCTGTTAATAGCTCTGCAAATCACCGAGAAGACACTGGGTACCTCCTCTCGCTGTGGAAAGACAACCTCAGGTCATTTCAGCTGGCCCAAGCTTGTGGCTCTCACACCCTTGATCCCTGCAGAGCTGGAAGTCAGGAGGGTGATTTTTGCAAGAGAGGGTTGTCCCATCAATCATCTCCTCACAGCCAGCCTGGAGGAGATGAAGTATCACCCTCAGTTGCTGACATGCAACACAGGGACCGTCAAGATCCACAGCAGGTGGGCAAATAATCCACAAAGCAGACAGTGCTTCATCCAGGTACAATTAAAAACAATTAAACAGGGAATAATTTAAAAACCCTTTTTTATTTAGACCAACACAAGAGCTAGACAGGATTTATGAGCTAAGTTTTTTGGTTGGAAAGCCAGTGTGTACTTTAAAGCATTGTCAGAGACCGAGAGGATACAGTCTGGAATACTGTGTTGTAACAATTTGTAAAACTGCATGAGACAGATTTTTTAAAATCAATTACTTCCCATCCGTTCAGGGACAGATGAGCCCCCAGCTAAAATTCCTTTTCATTCCGGTGCTTGTAATGATGAAGATGAAATGTGATTTTCCTTCTAACAAATGCTCCAAAAAGCAAAACCAGATAAAGCATGTGTTTCTCTGTTATGGAAAATAGGTCTCAGCATGCTGGAAATTCTGTGTTTTACTTACTTTCTACCACAAATGCCCCATTTTAAAAGAAATGAATAATGTAATCATTTTCTCTGATTTATGTTTTCTTTACTGCCTCATTTGGCACTAATGCTGTGTTATTACAAGAACAACTGGTCTCTGCAAAAAGAATCCAAAACGTGTGAAGTCGTTGGGACTAAACTGCAGAGAAAGGCAGAGAGGCCGTGGACACGAGCAGCAGTTGAACACTTTCCCACTGACCAGGCAGATTTCCTTCTTGTCTCCCGATGACATGAGCTGCATTTTCCTGCACCTTCCCAAACAAAGCTCTCCTTCAGGTAGGGTGTCAAGAAGGCGACGGGCAGTTTTCAGAAACGATAACAACGGAGGGCTCAGTAGAGTCCCAAGAGCACAGTCAGAGCCTGGGGATGTCTTCACTGGCGAGCATCCCTGGGATTCGACACGGCCGCCTGCACGCTCATCAGCATCAGGATCGCAGCAGTGCTAACGAGTGCCACAGCTCCCGAGCCCTCGAGGGTTCAGACGTGTGCTGGCAAGCCGAACAGCAACGAGGAGCATCTTAACAATGAACTTGGAGAAGAATCTGCAGGGAATTAGTGTCAGGCATGTGTAAAGAGGGTTACTTTTCCCATCTCCAACACCTATAATTACATCTCAAACGTGCTAATAAAATCCAGTGGTTACAGTGGGTTTTTTTCTCTGTGTGTCAAAGTTAAGCATGCTGCCGTGACGCCTAGGAAAAAATCAACTTTCTTACACTTCGAATAGCCACGCAACCAGCAGAAGTGATGCCGGTGTTCCCCGCTGGGTGAGAAGGACTCAGGTGCGCTCCTGGCTGCCGGGGGCTGCCGTGCCACCTCAGAGGTGCGGGGCGTAGAAGGGGCCGAGGTACGCGGGCCCCAGGAAGGGTGCGAAGGGGCCGGCGCCCAGCGGGAAGGGGGCGGCCGGCGGCACCAGCACGTTGGCGGCGGGATAGGAAGGGAAAGTCTGGAAGGGCAGAGCAGCGGGGCCCGGCGGGCTGGGGCTGCCGCCGCCCGCCGCCGCCGCTGCGGGAGATGCTGCGGGGGCCGCCCCGTCGGCGCCCGGGTGCTGCTTCTTCCACTTGGTGCGGCGGTTCTGGAACCAGATCTTCACCTGCGTCTCGGTGAGGCTGAGGGACAGCGCCAGGCTGAGGCGCTCGCAGACCGACAGGTACCGCGTGGCTCGGAACTTGTTCTCCAGGGCCACCAGCTGCTCATAGGTGAAGGCAGTGCGCGCCCGCCGCGGCTTCCCGCAGCCTGGCTCTGCTCGCCGCCGCCGGGCGCTCCGTGGCGAGCCCGGCTCCTCTGGCCCGGGTGGGCTCGCTGTCCCCGTCCCGTCCCCGCTCGGCTCCTCCTCGTCGCGCTCCTGCCCCCCGTCCTCGGCGCCGCTCTCCGCCGGGGCGTGCGCATCTAGGTGAGATCGCGGGGGTCGTCAGGGGGCAGCGCACCTTCCTCCCGTTCCCCCTCCGAAACCCGCGCTTCTGCTCCGACATCCCTCCCTCCCTCCCCCCAACATAAGGGCCATCATTAAAAATAAAAAAAAGGGAGAAAAATTCCGCCCGTCGTGCGAGAGCCCCCCCGCCCCCCCGGCGTCCCCCGCTGTGCCACCGCATCCGCGGTGGGGAGGGGAGAGCCGTCGATATGGATTTCTTACCAATTAAAAAAGAAGTTATTAAAGTCCCCTTCTGAAGCGAAATAAATCCCCTCCCCCCCTCCCCATCCCTGCGCTAATGGAGTTTCAGATTTGCGAGGGCCAGATCGATAGATGTCATCTATTAAAGGTAAGTTTTAATCGAACAATATTAGGATCAGGCCGGGAGAAGGAGGTTTGAAGTGGGCACCTGCAAGCTGCGGGGAGGAGATAGGCGGGAGTCGGTAATAGGATATCGATCACCGGGAGCTAAGGCATCCTCCGGTGGGGACGGGCTGAACAATTACCCAGCCGGCCGTCCCGCGGGCCGGGGCATCCGGCGGCTGCCGCCCCGGGGGAAAGGAGCGCCCGGGGGCCGCCCTTGCTGGGGGAAAGGAACCCGTGCGGTGCCTCGGTGAGAGCCGCGACCCGCCCGGCGCCGGGATGGGGCGGCGGCGCGCCCTGATGTGCGCGCTCCTGCTCGGGCGGCAGAGGATGCTCCGCACGCCGGGAGCCGGGCAGGAATATCGAGAACTTTTCCCTTTGCATCATCAAGACTTAAAATCCAGTTCCAGCCCCCCCTTCCCTCGCTCTTGCGGGACCCCGCGCGGGGAGCGCGTCCCGCCCGGCGCGGGGCCGAGGGTCCCCGTCTGCCGGCGCTTCCACCTGCGCGCCCCGCCAGCGCCGGCCGGAGAAACTCGAGCGCGTTCCTACCATGTGCTTCTAGTTTATTCCTCCCGCTGCCGGGAGCAGCAGCGTCCTTTCCTACTTCAACTCTTCCCAAACTTTTCTCCCGCTCGCCCGAGCGTGGGGCGCTGCCCCAGCTCCCCGAGGCCGGTTCGCGTCTTCTGCTGAATTTCTGGGGATCCAGGATGTCTAAGATGGAGAAGGAGATTTTATGATGGATGGGGGCCGCCTTGGCCCCGCGGTCCGGGCATTCCGGCATGCCACCCCACCCTCCGCGCTTCCCGGAGACCTGCTGGCTCCCGGCGCGGAGCCGGCGGAGCGCAGCGCCGGGCGCGGAGCGGGGCCGCTCCCGAGCCGCACGCTCGGCGCTGGCGGTGCGGAGTGAGCGGCGGGGAGGAGGAGGGTCGGCCGGGGAGGCGGAGGGGCGGCCGGCGGGGTGGGGGCAGAGGAGGGGGCAGCGCAGCCATTGGCACGCCGCCCCCGCGCCCCCTCCCCACCGCGCTGGCTCCGCGGGGGCGCAGCGGGCGCCTCCCTCCATCCCAAGCTCTCTGCGATAGGGCTTTCCCGTTACCTGCCCCAGGTTGGGCGGGGGATGTGCTGAGAGGCGGGCAGGAGAGGCCAGGAGCCCCTGGCACCGGAGCCAGGATCTCTGCCGGAGCAGGGATGCGGCTGCACCCGCAGCCCGACGGCACCTGGTGTCCCCCGGGGCCCGGAGAGCCACCGGCTGCACTTGTCCCCTCGTCCTCCGCTGAGCCACCTGCAGCTGTCCCGGTCAGTGCGCGCCCAGCGGGGTGAGCCTCGTGTTCAGAGGCACCCAGGGAGGAGGGATGGCTCCTGCATCCCTCTCCTGCGCTGGGCAGGATCCCAGCTCCAAGTGCTCCCTGTGCCAGCAGCCACTGGTGGAGATGTGAAGCTACTGCCTGGTCCTCAGGGAGAAAGGAGCAGCTTTTCGTTTGGGAGCAGCTTGGGATCAGTGCAGTTCAGACTCTGGGCCACTCCTGCAACTCTTCCATGGTGTTCACACTGTTCCCAATTATTAGGCAGGGGAACTGGGGCCTGCCTGTGCTGGAGGAGTTCTGACCCACTGAACAAACCCCTGACCAACCGTCCTTGTCTTGGAGGAAAACACTTTGTTGCCTGTTCACACCTAAAACTGGGACAGGGTAGGTGACAACAGGCCAAACCTCCCCACTGCAGTAGCCCTGTGACCACTTCTAGACAGTCCTGCTAATTGAAAATGGACTTGCAGTGTATTTGTGCACACCTGTATCTGTTCAGGGGGATGCTTTTCCCTCTCCTTGGCATTTCACATTGGTTGGTACCAAAATAATCAGATAGATTGAGGAAAGGCACCCTTCAGCCAGGGAAGGCAGCCTTCAGAAGGAATCTGCTACTCCACCTGCTTCTATTCCTATGGAAAGATGCAGAGCACAGCCCCCCTCCTCTTCATAGCTGCCTCAGCCTCAGCAGAATAATTCTTGGCATAGGCCTTAAGATAAGGGGAGAGCAAGAAGATGAGATGATGATAATGTACAAGGGTGATGTGATTAAAAGTAACTGTTAATGTTAATTATCCAAGAGCCCACTTGGCACCGGCCTCTGCAGTAGAATACCATAAGAATATAGAAGAGAAGGGAGCTCAGACCTGAGGAGTTCACATCCACAAGCTACAGGTGGCTAAAGCTTGATTTTGGGGATGTGGGACGTGGTGAACTGGGAAAAAAAAATCTGGTATATGCGACATTACAAATACTTCTGTTTGAGTTGTTGGTTCTGCAGGAGCTGGGAATGTAAATTGCAGCATTGAAATTAACTTGTGAGCTACAAGTCATTTTCAAATATCATCAGTTTCACATGTATATATACACAACAACCCACAAACATTTCATGCGTGTGGAAAGGCACATTCTCACGGATTAGTTCCAGCACTCTGAAGTTGGTCCATTTCCCAGCTCAGGCATTAAAATTCAGCCCAAGTGCTGTCTTTAAATTGCTTTGATGCTAGGTGGGTTTCAACCCTGACCTGTCCTGACGGCAAGTGATGGCTGTAACAAGCTGTGGATCAATATTCATAGCGGGTGTCCTGGACTGATAACACTATCCAAGACAATGTTCACTATCGCTGCAGACAGCTGAGATATTGTGCCATTAGTAATGTTGTTTTAAATAACCTGATCCATTTCTGAGTCTATTTAATGAATTTCACAGTTTAGATATTATCTTTAGGGAGAACCCAGAGGCTATTCCAGAAGCGGTGATGCAAATCAATGCTGCCAAGGCTCCTCTGCTTTCCTTAAAACAAAATGGACTATAATTCCACCACAGCTCCTTATACATTCTGGGAGTCGTGCCGTGCTATTGATGGCATTAGCGACGAGAAGATATTTGGGAGAAAACAACACTATCTGTAAAGCTGCAACACAGCTGACAACATCTTATCTGCGATTGTAGATACCATGTTATATGATGAGTCAGTGGGTTTTTTTTTTCCTTGGTTGTCATGTGAATCACAGAATGGTTTGGGTTGGGAAGGGATGTTAAAAATTTCACTCCAGTGGCATGGCTGGGGATGCCACCCACTAGGGCACATCCAGCTTGGGCTGGAAGGCTGGCAGGGATGGGGAGCAGCAGTCTGTGTGCCGTGCCCCGGGGCGGAGCGCGGCGGAGCGGAGCTGGGAGTGCATCTCATTTCCCGGGACTGCATTCATTTCCCGGGACTGCATTCATTGCGTTTCCCAGGACTGCATTTCCCGGCAGCGCCGGGCGCGCAGCGGGGCGGGAGCGGAGCCGGGACTGTGTTTCATTTCATTTCCCGGGACTGCATTTCATTTCTCGGGATTGCATTCATTGCATTTCCCGGAACTGCATTTCATTTCCGGGAACTGCATTAATTGCATTTCCCGGGACTGCATTTCATTTCCCGGGACTGCGTTTCATTTCCCGGGGCTGAATTAATTTCATTTCTCGGGGCTGAATTCATTGCATTTCCCGGGACTGAATTCATTGCGTTTCCCGGAACTGAATTGCATTTCCCGGGACTGAATTCATTGTATTTCCCGGGGCTGAATTCATTTCGTTTCCCGGGGCTGAATTCATTTCGTTTCCCGGGGCTGAATTCATTTCGTTTCCCGGGTGTACATTCATTTCGTTTCCCGGGACTGCATTTCCCGGCAGCGCCGGGCGCGGGGCGGGGCGGGAGCGGCCATGGCGAGCTGGGGCTGGGCCCGGGCCGTGCGGGGGCTGCTGCTCGATGTCAGCGGGGTTCTCTACGACAGCGGAGCCGACGGCGGGGTCCCCATCGCCGGCTCGGCCGAGGCCGTGCGCAGGTGGGTGGGGGGCAGGGGGTCCGCAGGGCACGGAGTGGGTTAAACCCAAAGGGCTTTGACTGCAGCTCCCGCTGAGCTGTGTGAGTCCCGCGCAGGAAACGGGAGCTTTTGGGGGTCAGCCCGGTGCTTTTGGGGGTCAGCCCGGTGCTTTTGGGACCAGCCTGGTGCTTTTGAGGATTACTGAAGCGAAGGGAGCCCGCAGATGATGGGGAGAAGGGTTTGGGGCAGCGCATCATCCCGCGTGGTTCTGTGTTGTCACTGCACAGGTGGCAGCAGAGCTGGCGCTGTCCCCCGGTAATCATTTTTAAAACATTACCTACACCGATCTCATAGCAAATTGATTCACTTTGCTGTCGATTTAGCTGGAACTTCTTGCAGGGAACTTGCAGCCCAGAAATGGAGAATTTCCGTGCTGGGGTTAATGATTGCCCAGCTGGGAAGTGACTCAAAAGCAAAGGGTGGCCTTGGTGAGTTCTCCCAGTGCCCACAGGTAGGGAACTCCTTCACTTTCAGCTGGGTGATGCTGTCCAGGTAACACGAGCTAAGTAACTTTAACTTAACTAACTTTAATTAATTAGATTGACTCGCCACTGTGTCTATATTGGTCCTTCTTGACCAGAGGAGCAGGATGGGGAGAGCAGTGGCTGCAGGGGCAACTTTGTTTAAACACAGGTATTGATTGTGTGCTTGTGAATTTCTGGAATAGCCTTTGGCTCTGCGATGTTTCACTCCCCCACTGTGGAAAATCCAGATCTATTTCACCTGGCAAACGCTGGATGGAGCTTGGAGAAACCTGGGATAGTGGAGGGTGTCCTTGTCCTTTTCAGGAGATTGGAACTTTAGTGTTCCTTCCAAGCCAAACCGTTCTGTGATTCTGCACTGCTGCATGTGCCCCACTTGAAATGTTTTAAATGTCTAAATTCTGAACCCCTGTGCAACACTGACAGCACTGCTTGGTGAACATTTCTGCAGCTTCTGTCCTCTGGGGCCACTCAGCACAGACACACTTGGGATGAGTGCATTATTGAGCAGGAAAATATGCAGGAAGAAATCTTGAATTCAGTAAAATTAATCATATGAAGTTAGTTAAATATGTACCTAAATGTTGGTGGAACCACATGGAAAGGCAGAACTGGAGAAGATCAAAATGAAGTGGTAATAACAGAACTTTGTGCTGCTTGCTTTTTTTTTTTTCTCCCCATAACTACACCTATGTTTATATTTTTTGAAACACGTGTAGGATGCACAGAGGATGCTATCACATGGATCAGAGTTCCCAGTGCTGTCAGAGAGCAATATTTGAAGTAAGTTTAAGGCTTATGGAGGCTCTTGGCCGGCTTGTGGTGCTCACCTGGCTGAGAGAAGCTGCAGGTGCCAGCACAGCCAAGGGGAGAGCAGCATTCCCAGGGAATTTAGTGAAACTAGGCAGAGGGAGAAATTGCTTCTATTGCAATCCTGTGGCCTGTGGTTCTTCCAGGGGATTGTGCATGTGCAGAGCACAGCCTGGGACAGTCCAGATCATAACCAGGGCCTCCAGGCATGGCCAAACCAAGCATAAATAACAACAACTGCATAAACTGTGTCACAGATCAGATCATTCCTTTGGAAACCAGGGCATACTCAATAATACCTGTGTTGTGGTTCACCAGATGCTTTTGACATTGTTTTTTTGCTCCTCGATTTTAAACTTCATTTTCTATCAGGTTGCAGGCTGTTATTTAATAACCTTTGTCACTGCATTTGCTGAAACCTTTTGCATGGAGGCAACATAAACTGCAGTCTGACTTACAGTAACATCAGAAATATGCTTATGAAACAACACTAAAACTCTGGCCTTGGGCTAAATGCAGGAAATTATGGGCTTTCTCTGGAAATCCTGGGAATGTCTAAAAGGCCTTTTTGCCTGTTAGTCACAGGAAGCCCTCAGCAGCTA